GCATTGTGCTCGCTCGTATCAACCATGTCTCGTGATTACAACTCGTGCCCTTTACATCGCACATGGACAATACAGTCGTTATACCCTTTGCGCTGTTATAGATGATTGAAATTTAATACCTTAACAACGATAAGATATTCCAATACATAAAAAATTAATTGAAAAAAAACCATAAACTGTGTAAATATAAGTTTGAATTCTTAAAATCACTTTCTATCAACGGCATGTCGAGCCTTCTCAATTATCTAATTTCAATTCAATGTTAATAAAATGTACATTGTTCTCTGCAATTCAATATATTTTTTTTATTTATTCAATTATTCTCTATATTGAAATACAGAAATACATATGTATAAAAAAACGAAAAATACTGATGTTGATATTTGTAAAGTTTGCGCGTGTAACGCAATGACGCAAGTGAGGCGCTGCCCCTCTTTGGCGCTGCCTAGAACTTGTCGTCGGCGTGTTGTCAAATAGTTTTAAACGAAGCTCGTTTAAATCATTTGTAAGGTGGCAAATGTTGCGACATATATTACAAAACTAACTACATTTTTGTACAGTTTGAATAACATCTGATAGATTTGATTAGGATATTGTTGTCACTTCGCAATCAGATTTACTGATTATAAATTGTATATATTTCCACATTTGAGAATTAGCTTTTATGCAAAAAATTTGAAAAGTTATGGAGACAAAATTAATGTTTTCTTTTGACCTCATTGAGGTAACATTTATGTCCGTATGAATACAGGATCGTTTATTTTCAAGTTAGACTATTAGCGAATATCAGAATCACTAGCGAGTGTCATCTATTGCATAAAAAAAATATTAATATATATAACTTGCTGTTCCCGTGCGACTTCATCCGTAAAAAACTAAGAAAATTTAATTTTATTGTTTACATGTGTCAAATATTGAATTGCAAATTTCAAAATGACATGAATGACGATAACAAACCATGGCAACCTTGCTTCCTTGATGTTGGTAGCAACTAATGGTCTCTTTCCCACATTAGGGTTTTTATTCAAAATATGTACCCCTCT